ACAGGCAGTGCTACAACAGAGGGGAAAAGAATTACCTAATGTTGTGTAGTGGGTTGATGCGCTGGTTAATTTGTGCTAGCTAGCATTTTGTAAGCTGCTCTTCTGTTTTTCCCCCTCTTACAGAGGCCATTTTAAAGCTTCATCTTGTTACAGAAGAGCTTTTTTTTTTTCCCCAAACCATTATGAAACCTCCTAAGAGCACTTTTTGGTCAATATAGCACCCGTGATTCTCAACTCTATAAATAGCTGCTACAAATAATGGTTGCTGCTGTCTTCCAGAAGTGCTCAGTCACTGACGATGGGGGTATGGTCTTCCCAAACCCAGCTGTTGGCACTCATGCAACAGTTGAAACTCTTGCCCTCTTCAGTCTCTTCCGTACAAAAGTGAGCAGTGCCCCCAGGGGTATGCACATGGTAGACGAGGCCACCAGCAGCCCGATCACTGCCAGGGCGTAGCTTGGGTAGTCCTTTGTCACCAGCTGTCCCTGCAAGGGAGAGAACAAGGTTGGATCTGTGGCATCTGAGGGTTTTGGGGTCCTGGAGCAAAGCTGTGCATTTAAACAGGACACCCAAGAAGCACTTGCTGGCTCCAGCAGCCCATTGCTGTCCTCAGAGCTTTGCTTTGTCCCACCATGCAAGCTTAAAATTGACAAGAATGGAGCTGCTGACAAAAGTACTGGGGAAAGCTTCTGCAAGCTTTGGTAAAGAGCAGATTTTTGCTTGATTCACATTTCTTAATGAGATTGCTCGGCCCTGACCTCTGTCAAATTCCTGCGTGCCTCTCCTGGAGCTGTGCTGACACCCAGGTGACGGGCCAGGCCCACTGCAGGTCCCAAATCTGAAGGCATGAAAACAGCAAGCATCATTTGTTTCTGTGTGCGGAAATGTGTGGAACATTTCCACACAAGATTATAAAACAAGTTACTACTCATGCAGTAGCAACTCCTCTGTGATAAATACACAGCTCAGCATTCATACAAAAGAGTTTGGGCCATGAAGAAAAATACTATTATATCATGAAAACCAGAGTGGTTTATGAAAACTGCTTATCCCAGGAGCAGCTCAGTTCTATTAAAAATACCACTAATTTTGTTCAAAATAGTACACTCAAACTAATTTTTCCATTCAAACAATATTTGTTAAGATGATACGCGGGTCTTCAGCCAACATGAATAAAGTTCTACTGTTTGAAGGGATCAATTGAGAATTGTAGTGGGAAGTTACTCCCATTACACAGAACCATGGTGTTGTCGCCAGGTCAAGTTTTTCCTTTCCACAAAATTAAAGAGTTGCACCGACTTCAGCTGCAAGCTTTCAGAAGGCAGTTTTGTGGAATGATGTAGTTAATAGGAAAGCTGTGTCCTTGGAGGAATTAAGGGAAGTTTAAAAAATAAATAAAATAAAATACAATAAAACAAAACACAAGCAAACAAGAACTATTTTACCTGTGTGGCATCCCATGCTTGGTATTGCAGTGTTCCTGTGAGGATGTAGTCAGTGATGTAAAATATAAATAGGCTTATGATTAGCAGAGGACTAGCAAAAGCCCACATAATTTTCCAATACAAGTTTAGCTTGCGTCCAATCATGGTGTAAAGATCTTTCTCAAATCTGTGTTAAAAAAAACAAACAACCAACTAACAAAAAACCAAACCCTTATTTTTGAGAACAGCTGCATGTGTTTGATCAATGCCTTGTTCTGAGTTTACTTCAAAAATCACCTAGAGAAACAAAATTCTGCCTGGCGTGTAAGTTCAGACCCCTGTTGGTGTGCGCTGAGGGAGAAAAGCAATTATGCTGAAGTAGCGTGGAGAAAACACTGCTTGTTTTAGCGCAGTTGAGTTGTTCTCACCCCTGTTATTCAACTGTCTGTCAAGAAGTGCTAATGCTGGCAACGGTGCCTAAAAATCACACAGGAAACCTGGGCCTGACTTGAAGGCTTTGAACTCATCAAGGATGCAGAAGATGTCAGCCCAGCCTGGCCCCCACGCAGCCCTGGAAGGGCTCTGCAGAGCAGGGGAGACCCTGTTGCTTCGCTGATACCATAGCATAGGAGAAAATATTATCCTCAGGTGGTATTTTTGTTTGTGGCCCTGCATGGCTTGGCCAGTGATCGCACCCCTGCTGTCCTGCTGTGAAGAAAGGAGGGTTCGTGCTTTTACCTTCTTATCCCGTAGATGTAACACACAGCAATGGTTTCTACCAGCACGATGAGCAGCAGTGAGAGGGTGGCTGCGTAGTCGTTGAATATGTCGAACCAGTAATTTCCAGCCTCCATGGTGAAGATCAGGCCAATCACACAGTTAATGAAACACACAACACCTGCGTGGAGAAAACAAGGAGCCTGCCATTACACCTGGAAATGTAATTACTGGGGGAAAATGTCCTGATTCCTGTGGCTAAGCAGCTGGTGGGATTTCTACTGATTTCTGTCTGGGAACCTGTATCACTTTTGGCCGAAGACTGAGGTGATTTGCAGTTGGGATACCAGTGATGTGACTGAACAGCCACTCACTGCAGTATCTTGACATATCTCTTGGCCCTTTGAGTTGAAGATAAGGAGCTGAGGTGTGTTGGGAAGCCTGCAAATACACAGCCATAATTGCCCAAGTGCTCTGAGAGCTCCTGCTGTAGAGGCTGGGCATGGTTTTCCAAGGGTAGGCAAACCCTTCTGGCAGCATATTGGCTATTGGCTGCTCCACCTGAGGTCAAAAAAGGACCCTCAATGGCTGTGGGACACCAAAACTCTTGCACACGTGTGCTGCCCCTGCATGGCCTGTGCTGCTCGTGGCAGGCGCTCACCTGAGATCACCTCCTTGGGGAAACGGGCAGCAATGACCCTGCTGTCGGTCAGCGGCGTGAGGATGGCAGCCGTGTTTCCCAGCATGCTGCCGATTCCCAGCATCAGCAGCATTGCAAAGTAAAGCACTGAGTACAGCTGGGGCACCTCCATGTTTTTGATGGCTTCAGAGTAGACTATAAATGCCAGTCCTGTCCCCTGCACTGCCTGCCAGCGAGAAGAGGGGAATAGGTGAGTTATAGGCAGCTCCTCAGCTCAATAAGGGACATGAGAACAGGGATAGATGAGACTGAGCCTCCACAACAGCAAAATACACCCATGGTGGTGGTTCTGCACAGCAGAGGCTGATGCGATCTTCACCAGTTTATTCAAACTGGACAGAAACTGGCACGGTCCTACTCATAGTGAAAACATTTGTCCCATGAAGATGGGCTCCTGAGGGACTGCCCGGGTTTGGTGGGAGGAAAGGCACGCATGAAGCCCGGGCCCCAGCACAAGGCAGCCTCTCACCGTATCTAGTTCAGCTTCCAGGCTGCAGTTTTTCAGCTGCGGCAATAACTGCGCATACTCCTGTGGGTGGGTGGCCATGAGGTAGTCCTTCATCTCGCTGAGGTTGTCTGCTGTCAAAGAGCCCTCCTCCAGGTCAAAAGTGTTCATCAGCAGCAGGATCACCCTGGGAAAGGTTACTGGGATTGAACGTCTTTCAGGCCAAGGTATAAAACTGATGCTGGTTTTACACCTCATCCCCTTCTCTGTTGGCCCCCCATGCAGGGATGCCTCATGCTCATCTCTGCATTGAAGGGGGAAGCTCCAGCCCCCAGGCTGCTGCTCTCGGGCACCTGGGAGGGACCCAACAGTTATTTCGGGTGCTGGCCATTGCCAGCCTTCCCCTTTGCCCTCCAGTCCCATGTCCACGCCCCACCAATTTAACGAGCCTTTTGGCAAGGCGCAAGGACTAGCAGCTTGGTTTCCTCTCTGATCAGCAGATGGATTGAAAGCTGTAAAAAATAGGAGTAAAAGTGTAACTGTGGCGGGCGCTGGGCCAGGGATCACAATGCAAGCTTGCTGCCTCAGGGTATGATCCTGCAGGCTGCTGGGCACCTCCAGAGCATCACCACTGAGCAGGATGAACTGGCACAGGGCTTAGCCTCAAAGTGGGGGATCTGAGCACTGTCTCATTTTATTAATCAACACATCCCCCCCCAAAGCATGTGCTGGTACCAGGGTGCAGGGGAAAGTGCCCAGGCAAACTCATCCTCTTGCTCCAGCCCGTGCCTGGAAGCAGCCCCCAGGTGTCAAAAGGCCCACCAGCTCTGACCTTTCATCCCAGCCTTCGGCTTGTGGTGGAAAACAAGTGAAATAACAGCAGGCTCTTACTTGTTTATGCAGCTTTCGTAGTTAAATGTTGCCTTGAAGCCATAGATGGAGAAGGTCACAATGCTGGCGAAGATGGACGTGGCGCTGTTGATCAGCGAGACGATGATGGCGTGCCGCTCACAGTTGTTGCTGGACTCGTTGTAGCTGGCAAACGCGATGAGGCTGCCGAAGCCCAGGCCCAGGGAGAAGAAGATCTGCGTGGCGGCGCTGATCCACGTCTTGGGGTTTGACAGCTGCTCCAGCTGCAAAACCAAATGGGAAGAGTGAGAGCGTGAAGCTGTGCAGAGATGGCCAGCACTGCCTCTTCCAGCAGGCAGGGATGGCGAAGGGGATGAGCCCCTTTGCATACCTGTTTTAGATCAGGGGTGGCTTTTTAGGCAAGGTAACTGCTCAATTTGGAACTAATACACTATGGATAGAACTATACACTATTATAGAACCATAGAATCACAGAATGGTTTGGGTTGGAAGAGACCTTAAAGATCACCCAGTCCAACCTGCCTGCCATGGGCAGGGACACCTCCTCCTTGACCAGGTTGCTCAAATCCCCATCCAACCTGGCCTTGAACATTTCCAGGGAGGGGGCATCCACCACTTCCCTGGGCAACCTGTGCGAGTGTCTCACCACTCCCACAGTAAAGAATTTCTTACTAATATCTAGCCTAAATCTACCCTTTTCCAGTCTGAAACCATTTAAAACCATTATGCAGCCTCCAGCTGAGGTTTCCAGCTGCCTGACCTAAGATACTGCTGCAAAAATTCAAAGTAAGGAAAAGGAGCATCACCACCTGTTAAAAAACCTCCGCATGTGGTAACAAATAACATTTCTGAAAAATTCAGTACAATTTTTCTGTACCTTTGGTGTGAACATGTAGATGAGCCCGTTCAGAGCTCCGTGAAGCGTTAATCCTCTGATGAGGTATATGATGAGAACGCAGTAGGGCAGAGAGGCTGTCACATAAACCACCTGGAGGGAGGAGGAGAAACACCTTGTCTAAAGAATACACAAGAGTGGCTGTAATAGGTCAGCTCTTTCTCACTTACAGTAATGGAAATGCTTTATGTACATATTTGTTACCTTGTACTAATCTTTAAATAAATATTTTTTGATAAAACTAGATTTAGGTTTTAGGAAAACAAGTTTTTTATTGCTAATAAAAGACCCTGTGCTAATGTTTCCACCAGTCTTCTCTTTGATTGTAAAAATAAGAATGAAACTTAAAATAGTTGGAGCATTTACAAACTCAGTTCTGCAGCATTTAGTGGAGTAACACCAGTTCACAACCATCTGTCAAGAACGCATTAGGCAAAGGTCATCCATCATCTGTGCTAGAAGGAGGGTGAGCAGACCTCATGAAAGGTGAAAAATCAAACTTAACTAAAAGTATTTTAAATCAGATGTGAAAAAGACTTTAACTTTGTGTTACCTAGATGGGGGATGGAAGGAATTAAATATTTCAGTTGTCTTCCATGAGCTTTTGAGCAACTCCTTGAGTTTGAATCTAAATGTTTAACCTCCACCAAAAAAAAAAGGGAGAGGTACCCCAATGGTTCACCCAGAAACTCATACAAAAAGTATAAAGTAGCTCACAAAAAACAGGCCTTCCTAAGCTCTTGGGAAGAGAAGCGGATGCGCAATTACCGAATATTCGTTCGATTTGCACCCACCTGAAAATGCAGCAGCTTCCCCTATCCCAGCAGCACAGCCCTGCTTCCCATGCACAGGGGATGCTGGAGATGCCCCTGTGCTCCCTTCACCACCCCCCCCACCCCGAGGCCCTGCCTTCACAATGTGCTTTCAGTGCACCATGGCTGTTTGTTTGTTTCCTTTTTGCCCACCAAATGCAGCTGCAGCAAGTTTACGAGGTTATTCTTGGTTTACAGTCTTTTGGCTTTCTGCGTCTGGCTAATACGATTTGGGGATTACAACCCTCAGCTCGCTACTTAGTGCAGGCTCAGCCAGGACATTGCTTTTTTTTTTTACCCCCCCTCATAACTTCTGTGAATAAAAAGTGAGCAAAAATGCCCAGTGGATGTCTTTTTTTCTTGCAAAGACAGGAACAGACGTCTCCTGACACGGCTCTGCTGTGGCAGGTGGCTTTCTGCATGGCCAGCAGCCTGGTGGCTGGTTTTGCAACAGAGGTGGCTGCATTTAAAGAACTTTTCTGATTGGTTTTTTGTTTAGTATCACTCAATGTTTTGGTTGAGCCTTCTGCAGTTGCACCTTAACAGGTTGGCAGAGGCCGCAGGGCTGGCTGCTCCTGGGGAGATATCATAACCCCAAGTAACAGCAGTCACAGCCACTGCATTTTTTCACAGAATCACAGAATCTCAGGAGTT